TTGCTTCACAGTGATCASGTGGCGTGTGGCCGGTGGCCAGTGGCGCTGGCTTGCGGCCGTGGGCGGGGCGCCGCCTACACCTTGTAGTTGAGCTCCGCGTTCATCTTGGTGTACATCTCGTAGATGACGTCGATGGTGGCCGTGTAGTTGACCAGGAAGAGGCGGATCTTCTCCAGGCCTTCTCCTCTGTCACGTTCTGCCCCTTGGAGAGGGCCTTCAGGAAGTCCGACTTGTAGGGCGCTGCGTACAGCGCGGCCTGGAAGATCTTCTGCACGATCCAGCCGTGGTACTTCTTGAGGGCCATCTCGTAGGCCTTGGTGGCATTGACGCGGATGAGGTTGGGGTGGTTCTCGTCCTGCTCGCCATCAAGATGCTCTGGAGGAAGACCTGGATGAAGCGAAGGCCTCTTTTCAGCCACATCAGTGCCAGCGTGGCCCCCACTTGGGGCCATTCTGCTCCATACATTTCCTTCTCCACCTCCAGGATGTTCTGCAGGGTCCGGAACTTGGATGGGTTGGTCTCATCCACAGCTTTGATTTTCGTGATGTTGCCACTTATGTCTGCCTTGATGGGTGTMAACACGGGGGACCCAAGGCAATCGAAGAAGGGCGGCAGGTGGACACCGCCTCCAGGAAGGGCCCGGTCTCTRTCTGCTTGTCCGCGGGCAGCGGCTTCAGCAGGTTCTCCGCCAGCAGCGCCATTCCAGGATCGAGGCCCGCGGTGATGCCCCAGCGGGCGCCGCGGGCGTCCACGCCGCCCCCCAGGCCGCCGCCGTCAGAGCCAGGGCACAGGCTCTGGGGACGCCAGCGTCGCCACTTCCGCCCGCGCCGCGCCCTGGTAGCCGAGCGCCTCCCTCATTTCTTTTTTACTTTTCTTCCAAAAGCATTTGTGTCAATCATAACACATTTAAAAAAAAAAAAAGAGGTAATCAAAAGAAAACAAAGATGCCCACTGTACCCATGGAGAGGGGCCATCACCGGGGTTTTGGGATGCGTATTGTCAGTGGGATATCAGTTTAGCATCCTACTTATTTTTCTCTTTTCTTTTCTTTTTTTTTTTTTTTTTTTTTTTGTACTGGGGATTGAACTCAAGGACACTTGGACCACTGAGCCACATCCCCATCCCTTTTTTGTATTTTATTTAGAGACAAGGTCTCACTAAGTTGCATAGCACCTCGCTTTTGCTGAGGCTGGCTTTGAACTCACTATCATCCTGCCTCAGCCTCCCAAACTGCCGGGATTACAGACGTGTACCACCATGCCTGGCTTTTCTGTCTGTTCTTTAGAAGTAAAAGAGTTCAGAGCTGGACATGATGTCACATGTCTGTAGTCCCAGTGACTGGGGAGGCTGAGGCAGGAGGACAGAGAATTTGGAGGCCAGCCTGGGCCACTAAGCAAATCCCTGCCTAAAAAAAAAAAAAAAAAAAAAAAACATAGAACGAAAGTACTTTGTAGTTTGTATTGAACAACTTTGTGACTTCAAATTATCACTTAATTTAGAATGAACATTTCTCTGCTAAGTAATTTTGTACATCATCGTTTATTATTTATTTTTATGGGTAGAATTAGTGTTTCTTATTTTTATGGGTAGAATTAGTGTTTCTTTTTATGTCTTCACATTTAGTAGCTGAGTGATAGTCCATCATGTGGGTATCATAATGCATCCAACCACTCACCTCCATGGTTTGGTTGTTCCAGACTTTCTCTTTTCAGGCACTGCACTGCATGGTGTGTACTCAAGACCCTTCCTCCCTCTCACCTTTMAACCTTCTCAGGTTCTGCAGTTGTCCCAAGTTGGGCCAGCAGAGGGTGCGGTGGGCTTTCCTGCTCAGAGCAAGGCCAGGAGGCTGTTTTTCTACAGTACTTGCACTGTGAAAATTATCCCATTTTGAATCTTCAGTAATTATCCACAAACTCCAAAGGGATAATAGAAGTTATTAATTTAATTTTTCTATCAAGATCAAATACACACACCCCCAACACTCAAAGTAGTAAACTGTGAAGACTTAACAAAGGAATGAAATGGCCTGACGCCCAATTCAGAGTAACTAAAGGAGCACTCTGCTTCATGCAGGGTGGCAAAGTCTCTGTGGGGGTGGCAGGGGGCAGTGACAATGCAGCAGGAAAGCAGACTCAACCTGAGGATACTGGCGGTACCACAGCAGGAGTCCAGACTGCCCAGGATTCACAGCTCCTTAGGAATGAAAATTTCGAGGCAAAACTGAACAGGGTGTTGCCATTTCTTTTTTCTCTGTGGAGCTGGGGAGCAGCCCAGGGCCCTGACAGTGCTAGCAGGCGCTCTACCCTAGAGCTACTCCCCGGGCCCAGCAGGCATCTAGCACGTCCCATCTGTCACCCACCAGCCTTTCTGGTAGGCAGTACCGTGTGTTTTATTAGATGGTGCTGCAAACAGGGGTTCTACAGCCATCTTTCTCAACTCTCACCAAGATCATAAAGTCCTGAGGGCAGTGACCTGCCTACACTTCTTGGCACACACAATTATGCCCACCAAATTACTAAGTCCAAGGTGGGTACTTAGCAAGTTGTCATTCAGCACTAATGATGGTTTCTATTCTTTGCAAGATGATCACCGAGGGGGACAGTAATGGTTAAGGCCCAGACTTTGGAGCCAGGCTGCCTGGGACTGTATCCGGACCCCATCACTTACCGGCAAAGCACTTTACTTCCTGAGCCAACGATCACTTCTGCTATGTAGTGAGAGTACTTACCCAAGAGAGTGYTTGGAAGAATCAAAACACATTAATGGTGCTATGGGCAGGTGCAGGGGCCTAGGCCTGAGGGACACTCAGTAGCTGGTTCTAGGGCAGCTGCTGAGTGGACGGTGCTGAGGTCCTCCCTTGCATTCCTAAGTTCTGACTCTTGAAGCTGCTGTTCTTCATGCCTCCACAGTCACTGAGGACTGCAGCCTCGATCCTCCCAGGTCCCCTGCCACTGTGTGTGGTGGCCGCCCTGCCCCATGGGCTCTCTGAGATTATAGGCCCACATTTGCCCTTTACCCTCCCTGTGCAGGGCTCCACTGGGCCCCACCAAGAGCTGTGACCTCCCGGATATCACGTTGCCCTCGGACAAGGCTGAAGCTGATCTCGTGTGCCCCTGGTAACAGCAGTGCTTTCCTCCCAGGGCTCCCACAAGTGTGTTCACACCAGAAGAAATGAGGCTGTGTGCATGCAGGAGACTCAGTGGGCAAGGGAGCATGGCGTCCACTCTGGAGGACAGCAGGGAGTGGCAGGGCTGTGAAGTCATGTCCCTGCTTCTCTGCRGTCTCCTCCAGAACTCTCCTGTCCACTGACAGTGGGTTCTCCAGGGTGGGCAGTGTGGGGCACACACTCCAGATGTCCCTCAGGAACAAGCCTGTGGTAGGCTCTCCAAGGATGTGGCCTCTTCCCCAGGGGTGGACAGAGCTGAGAAGCGTCTGTGTCTGTGACTTTACAGTGTTTCGAATTCGCAGAGATGACTAGGACGTCTGAGGAAGTGAGACTCGGGGCACTGAGCCCTGGTGAGGCTGGGCAGGCACCCAGGAGGGGCTGAAGGAGCAGAGGGAAAGGCAGAGGGGAGCCCGCCTCTGAGGGGACACGAGGCTCTGCTATAGTGGTGGGAGAATCACGATGTCTGAGGCACCGAGTGTCAGGCATCAGAGAATCAAAGAGGGCTTGGGAGCAAGGGACTAACATAAACCAACGCCTGACTGAGGACCTGGCAGCTGTGTGACAAACTGATGTGACTCCATTTTTAAAAATAAATAAATAACAGCAGCTTCTTCCTCAAGGCCTGTCCTAAGGAAGGGGGCATGACCCTTGTCCTTGGAAAAACCCACAGAGCACTCCTAAGCACATACCCACCCTGCTGAGTTGTTTGTCTGCAAATAACAGGAGAGATCTGTGGCGCCAGGTGTCCCTGACTCAGGCTAGATGAGGACCCATAGCAACCTCTAATCAGCATGAGTCAGGGAAAATACCTGGGATGCCAGATGACCCCCCAGTACTTTATGGTGGTTGATAACATGTTGGGAAATCATGTAGTTTAGCACATACACCCCTCGTGGCCTAAACCAATCAGTTCAAAGGAATCCCCCTCTTGTACTAACCAATCACCCCTACCCAACTTGTTCCTGCCAGTGAATGTGCTAATCAATGTTAAGAGTTGTTATTTGACTTTCCCGGGGTGTGGAATGATTTGCTGTGTGATGTTGTGACGCATAGAGTATCCCCCCCCAAAACTATAAAATCTCACTGAACAAAGGACTGGGACTCATTCCCTGGGACTGCTGCATTGTGAACGGTTGTGAGTCCAGGCTCGAGCTTGCAATAGACTCTTGTGTGATTGCATCGGATTCGGCTCCTGGAGGTCTACTGGGGTACCACTAATCTGGCATTACACAAATCTGGCATTACACGTCACTTCAAACTGAGGGGCAGGGCAAGGGGTGAGCAGGAGGGGTGCTGGGGCCTGCTGGGCCAGCTAGGTGAGCAGGCTGAGGTGGGTGAGGAGGTGGAGGGAAGAGGGTAGGTTCTAGGGGTCCTCTGAAGTTGGGTGGGAAAGAMGGAGGGAGTCAGGTAGGACCTGGGGTTTCGGCCTGAGTGGCAGGGCAGAAAAGACTGCATGCAATTCCTGACATGGACCGACAGGAGGTGGACAGGGGTCCGGCAGGATGAGAAGACACTTGGCCACGTGGGTGCTCTGACATAGTCTCTCTGTTCCATGACAATGGTCTCCAGAACAGGCTGGGAACACTGACTCCTCCATTCCGAACACAGCGGCCAGTGAGGAGCAGAACAGGATTTGGACCACGGGCCGCAGCAGGTCTCTATGAATCATGCAGGACTTCATCGGGAGGCAAGGATGCCTGAGGGGAAGGTCTGCAGGGCCCAGCTTAAAAGAACCAGGTCTGTGCTTCTCTGAAATCACCAATGAAAATACGCAACTGCAGAAATGCTCCACATTCAAAGCTTTTATTTTGAAAAATAAAATACAAAAGTCATTAAGTTGTAAATGTATACGGTAATTTCCCAACTTCTCAGAAACAATACAATGAATTACTTAAATAATTAAGATATTTAATATTATCCACATCAATATATTTAAACAGGCACAAGTGTTCTACGAAACATTGGACCAAGTACAGACAACCTATCCCAAAATGAAACTGCCCGTTTTGCTTACAGAATACCATTTTTAAACCCTCCCCTTGAAAACGAAGTTTGGAATTTGTTAAGATGAGGACAAGAGTAGGGCTAAATGAGGGCACTGTCCCCTGGCTCCTTATCACAGGAGTGGACACCCGCCCTTGGCAGGAGGGGCTGGAGTGCACAGGAGACGGCCGGCCGCCTGGGCTCCGCTGGGCTCCGCAGCTCCCTGGGGCAGACAGACAGAGCGTTAGGACTCCCGGGCTCCCTGCCTCCTGCCTCCAACCCTGCTCGGGGCACGCGCACTGCAGGACTGCCCCGCGCACCTGCAAGTGACTTCTGTGCAAGTGCAGAGGCAGCCCTACCCTGGGCACGGCTCAATGAAGCCACTGAGGGCACCGCATCCAGGGTGCAGCAGTCACCTTGATGCCCTGGCCATCTGAACAGGTGCACACCGAGACCCTGCAGAGAAAGTGCCAGAGAGCACGGAGATGTAGAGGGACCCAAGAAACCAGGGACGGGCATGTCCCAGGATGCGCAGCAGCCCCCAGCTTCCCTGAGGGCTGGGCACCCACAGGCTCAGTCAGCAGGCCAGGGTGGAACACTGCCCTGGGCGCCCCAGGGCCGGGTCAACAGGCAATGCCTTCTCTCATGGACCAGCCAGTGGGTCAAGGAGGCCCCTGTGCGTCAGCAGGGCTGGGGTACCACCTGAGGATGCTGAGGCCACCTGGGTGAACAAAATCATCCAGGATGCAGGACAGCGGTTGGAAATGCAAGTCTGTATGCAAAGGGGCATGCAAAGGGTGTGCAGAGGACATGGTAGGGACACGCAGCATCTGCACCTTGGAAAAAAGGCAACTGTGATTCTAAAACCTATTAACTCAGTGACACAGCAGCGCTCCATAAACACAGCGAACCACAAAGATCTCCCACTCAATCTCTCTTACTTAACTTCAGTTTTCTCATCTACAACAACAGGAATAACATGGGGTAGGAAAGACAGTGGAATGAGAAGGACATCATTACCCAAAGTACATGTATGAAGACACCGATGGTGTGATTCTACTTTGTGTACCACCAGAGACATGAATAACTGTGCTCTATGTGTGTACTATGAATTGTAATGCATTCTGCTGTCATATATAACAAATTAAAATTAAAAAATAAGTTAAGAAAACAGGAATAATAGCATTTACCTGCAAGAATGCTTTGAGAACTGAAAGAATATATATATTAATTATGTTCACATAATATATATAACTATATATTATGTGAACATAATTAATAGATAAATAAAAACAGAGTGCACTTGTGGGCTTATGCCTGGTTTGAAGAATGCACTCAGTACATGGTTATTACATAAAGTAAAAATAAAAGCAAAAATCAGGCCAGGTGCAGTGGTGCATGTCTGTAATCCCAGCAACTCAGGAGGCTGAGGGAGGAGGATTGTAAGTTCAAAGCCAGCCTCAGCAACTTAGCTAAGGCACTTAGCAACTCAGCAAGACCGTGCTCTTATCAAATATAGAAAAAGGGATGGGGATGTGGCTCAGTGGTTAAGTGCCCTGGGTTCAATATGCAGCACCAAAACCCAACTAACCAAACAGAAATTCAGCAAGCAAACTAAAGAAAAAAATCACGGGCTGGAGATGTGGCTCAGCGGTAGCGCGCTCGCCTGGCATGCGTGNGGCCCGGGTTCGATCCTCAGCACCACATACCAACAAAGATGTTGTGTCCGCAGAGAACTAAAAAATAAATATTAAAAATTCTCTCTCTCTCTCTCTCTCTCCCCTCTCTCACTCTCTCTTTAAAAAAAAAAAAAAAAAAGAAAAAAAAAGAAAAAAATCACGACCATGTGTTTAGAGACACTGTCTGGGCTCCAAATGACCTGGGGTGTGAGCACTTGGGAGCAGCTCTGCCAGAAGACCTGGGTTCAGAACCAGCTTCACCACAATTGACCTGAGGACGCACATGCACCCAGTCCCCAGGGGACTGGGAAGGCGTGCTGGCCACTCAACACTCAGCCCTTACAAGCCATCTCAGACAGCATGATACACTAACTAGAGCAAGGGCCAGGCACAGTGGCCACGCCTGCAATCCCAGCTATAGGGGAGGCTGGGGAGGAGGATTGCCAGCCTCAGCAACTTAGCAGTAAGATCCTGCCTCAAATAAATAAATAAATAAATAAATAAATAAATAAATAAATAAATAAATAAATAAATGTGTAAGGGCAATCTTGAAAAACAAAACAGAAGAAAAAAATCTCATATACACATACTCGTCCAAGTCCAGCAGAGAGAGCAAGCAGCAGAGGCAGTGGGAAGAGCCTGAAGACAAGTCAAGAGAAGATGCTCTTTAGCTTGGGCTCCCTCTTGCTCCATGAGATGACCTAATATCTTGCTCCCTCTGAGATCAGTTTCCTCATCAGCAAAAGATGAGTGGACTTGTCTGTCTACAGGTCCTCTCCATAGTCATGATGTCAGACCCCTTCATCACCACGGTAACACCTAACTCTATTTGTGTGTCCCTGAAGACRTGAGGGTGTTAAGCGCTACCAGTGACCTCTTCATCTTAGAGCTGGCACTCTTTGTTTTTCTTTGGTGGTGCTGGGATTGAACCCAGGGCCTCATGCATGCTGGGCAAGCACTCTTACCACTGAGCTGTATCTTCAGCCCTTTGTTTTACAGATGAAGAAACTAGGACACAGTGAGGTTAAGTAATTTGCTCAATGCCACACAGCAAGTGACCAAGGAAGGATTCCAACCCAAGCAACTGACTCCAAAGCTGTGCTCTCCACCTGGTGATGTGGCCTTCTGAGACAGCCCAGGGGGACACCCCAGAACCCAGGAGTGAAGCCCAACCCTCACCTCGAGGTGTGAAGGAGGTTCCAGGCCCTGCTACTCCATAGGCTCCGTCTGTTGAGGGAAGAAAAGATGCTTTAAAGTCCTTGAAGTTGGCTGGCCCAGTGTGTCTGTTCCACTGAGACATCAGGCAGGATCTGCAAGCTCTGAGCCCAGACTTCCCAATAACACAGTCTACAGCTGCTGTACAACGAAGCCTCTGACTGGCTTCCCGGGTTCCAGAGAAGGAGACTGAACCCTTGAAGTCTCCCAAGTGAAGTTTATGTGTGAGCTGAACTACATTAACCACAGGGCTCCGACATGGCTGCAAGTCTTTTGCCCAATTTTTAAAAACCTTTTTATATTGATTTGTAGTAATTATCTATATTCTACAAGTGAGTCCTTTGTTTCAAACATTTTTCCTGCTTAAGGCTTATTATTCTTCATGATTTTCAAAAAGTACATATTCTCAATTCTAATAGTTCAAATTGTCCATCTTTAAATAATCAGTGTTTTTTTTTAAAAAAAAAACACTTTTCAGTTGTAGGTGGACACAATACCTTTATTTGATTTATTTACTTTTATGTGGTGCTGAGGATGGCACCCAGGGCCTCGCACGGGCAAGGTRAGCGCTCCACCGCTGAGCCACAGCCCCAGGCCCATGATCAGTGCTTTTAGGACTTGTTTAAGAAGCCTTTTCCTCTTAAGGTCATGAAGATATTCTCCTGCATGGTCTTCTAACAACCTCATTATTCTGTCTTTCCCAGTTAGGTCTACAATCTACTGCAAATGACTTTCATGTGCCATGGGCCAGGGCTGTCCCCTTAGTTTCAGTCTCAATTCCCTTTTCTGCGTCTTCCACATTCATCCAAACCAGCCTTGGACCTGACGTCCCTTCAAGACTGCCTCTTGGACCGTTCTCTGGCTTGGATGACTGCAGCTTCTGTGTGAGAGTCCACTTATGACCCATCCAGATTTCTGGGACGTCAGGCCCACAGCCTTGCACACCTCTATCTGTAAGTTGATCAAAGTTTTTTCAGATAAATCGGGAGTCTCTTGGGAAGATCTTTCTTTTTCCTCAAACTCCTAAGGATGAATTCCAATTTCTCATGTATTATAGATACTCATTAAACATCTGCTGAGTAAATGAAATGACTGGATTGTTGAATTTCATTAAATATACGGGATTAGGATCTGGGATTATGGGTCAGTGTCACAGCACTTGCCTAGCACGTGTGAGGCACTGGATTTGACCCTTAGCACCATATAAATAAACAAAATACAGTTATTGTGTCCATGCACAACTAAAAATATTTAAAAAAATATAATGCCTCAAAAGAACTCTGAAATTCTCAAGCAACATGTATCAGGGATTGGCAGCTGACCTGTGACCTCTCTGGTGTGAGTCGGGCCTTTCTCAGTGGGCAGCCGTCTGCTCCAGGCTTGCTTCATGCACACCTCACAAGTCTGYGTGTGGTGGCATCTAGAAGAGCCTGGAACTGAGTTCAGGGCTGAGTTTCACTCCGACCAAGAAGCTGAGCACTGACAGCAGCATMGGGAGATGGCAGGTGGCCGCTTCCCTCCAGCAGTAGCCCTTGTTCCTTCCAACCCCTGCCTGTGGTGACTGGGGATGCCCAGAGGAGCTACTCCTGGCCYGTCAGCCATCATGCTCCCTGTTCCCTGTGTATCAGGAAGCCRTGGTGGAAAGCAAGTGGGTGTGAAGTTATCAGGAACAACTCTGGTTTGAAAGGAAAAGTTAACAAGCTTCAAACTCTGGCCACTCTTCCTGAGGGCTAACGGCTGGATCCTGTAGGCGCTAAGTGAGGAAACCGGAGGGCCATGGGGGGAGTGCAGTGAGAACAGAGAGGGTGGCCTGCACTCTGCTGATCTGGAGCAGGGCAGACTCACCACAGCACCCTCCTAGGTGGGAAACACTATGTGGCCTTGGTTTCAGCTATCAATAGGAATTTCCCTAGTTTTGGAAGATACTGAGCTCCCTGAAATCAAGATTGTTAAAACTGCCAGGCACTGATGCCAATCCTCCTACCACCAGCACATATCATGATCTCTTTCCTATTTTTCTCTTTTGTTTTCCTAAGTTTGACTTTTTAAATTTCAGGATGTCTTTAGAAAGATTAGTTTGACACAAGATCCCATCTCTTATACAGCAGGAGGAAGCAGATACAGTGTACAGTACCTGGGGTTTTTCCTTCAGAAAGTCAGGTAGCTGGAATTCTCCTTTGTAGACCTGAGAAAACAGAGCACATGAGAGTTGAAGGAAGCCACCCTGGCCCATCCTCTGTAGAGGCTGAAGAAGCCACCCTGGCCCATCCCCTCAGGAGGCTGAAGGAAGCCACCCTGGCCCATCCCCTCAGGAGTCTACAGCACTAACGGTCTTCCCTCTTGGAGGGTTCAGAGCAGCCACGGGGTAGGACCATGGCCGAGCTGCTTCAGGGCTGCCTCAGTGCCCCTGGTGGGCTGGCTGGGCAGGCTCCGCATCCAAGCTTCCAGACACACCAGCTGAGAGGCAGCAGGCCCCAGCAAGGCTCACAGGACCCACCTGCTTAGGAATAAGCTTTTCCTTGCAACTCTGGGGATAATCCAACTTTATGTTCCTCGTTTACACGTTATTCCCACTATGATATGAACACTGAATGATTCTTTTTTTTTTTTTAAAAAAGGATATGTCAGTTTTATTTATTTATTTATTTATTTATTTTTTCTGAATGATTCTTAAAAGTGATATATACTTTAATTATATAAAAACTTATTCTAATCAATAAGTATTTTCAATATATAAAAACGTTTCTAGCACAACACATAGCTAAAAAGTAATTTTAAAGAACACTACCTTTCACAACAGCCTCAACCCTGCCCTAGGGTTGAACATAATAATAGATGTGTAAGACCTTTATATAGCAAACTGTAAAACACTGAGAGAAACTAAAGAGCTACTCAAGTGGCAGGGCACACACTTTCAGGGACAGGAAGGTTCCAACAGTAGTGACATTCACGCCTTCAGTTATTTCCAGGTAGATTCTAGCATGTTTTTTCTTTGAGACTTCAAGCAGGCAGTGAAAGTCACTGGAAGTGTACAGGCCCCAAGTGGTCAAGGACATCTTAAAGGAAGGACAAAGCAGGAGGGTTTATGGTAACAGATGCCAAGACTTAGTACTCAGTCATGCCCAGGTCACATTAGTCACCCACGCAAGCTAAGCTCACTGAATAGCCATGACCACCATAGTTAGGTGCAAAGCAGAACCGGGAGCCAGGAGGCCCCTTGTGCAGAGCCGGCGATATGCAAGAGGTGCTGCCGCCACAGTGGTGCCTACAGCCACAGGCAGCAGCACAGACAGGACTGCTGCTGGGCCACCAAGGGTTCAGGCAACTTGGTTGCCTTCTGAATTTAGTTACTGAAGTGCAACATACATGCAGGAAAGTGTACCTTCACCTCCCCTCCAGTGACTGTAATCCACGCAGCCTCACAGGCCGTGCACCTCAGGATGTAAAAAGCCCCCACCCTTGAAGGCCTCCCTMCCCCCGCTCCCCACGAGATCTTCAGGCTGGCTGCAAGCATGGGTTTCAGGAGTAAGGCTTCTACGGAGGGATGAAAAAAAATGTTAAGTCACAAATACAAACAAATCCAAAAGGGGCTGCGGAAGCTATCAACTAAAAGCTCAATTAAAAAGTAAGCAGGAGGGGGCAGAGGTTGTGGCTCAGCAGTAGAGCACTCCTCTAGCATGTGCGAGGCCCTGGGTTCAATCCTCAGCACCACATAAAAATATGTAAGTGAAATAAAGGTATTGTGTCCATCTACAACTAAAAAATAAATATTAAAAAAAGAAAAAAGTAAGCAGGAGGGCTGGAACTGTGGCTCAGCGGTAGTGCACTTGCCTGGAATGTGTGAGGCACTGGGTTTGATTCTCAGCACCACATATAAATAAATAAAATAAAGATCTATCAACAACTAAGGAAAAAAATTTTAAAAAAATTAAGCGAGAATGGGCTGGAGTTGTGGCTCAGTGTAGAGCACTTACTGGGCATGTGTGAGATCCTGGGTTTGATCCTCAGCACTGCATATAAATAAATAAAATAAAAGATTCATTGACAACTAAAAAAGTATATATATAAAAATTWWAAAAAAGTGGCAATGGCTGGAGCATTATGTTAAGTGAAATAAGTTGAACTCAGAAAGTCAAGGGTGGCACAGAGTTTTCTCTCCTAGGTGGAAGCTAGAGAGGAAAAAGGAAAAACAAAGAATAGGGAMTCTCGTGAAAATAGAAGGGAGACCAGTAGGAAAGGGGAACAGGATAGGAGCACTGGGGAGCGAAACTGGCCAAATCACATGGCCACATGTACATGTATGTGTGCCAATGTATGCCAGTGACCCCAGCATTACGCAGAATTATAAATAAAAATGTATGAATTTTTTTTAAAGGGGAAGATGCCTGAGGTTTTCTCCTTTCAGCATCACGTAGGGAACAAAGGCTGACACTGGAGAAAGCCCTTTCCTCTGACCAAGAGCTTCTCCCTAGTGCAGGAAGGCAGCGGCCACTCTGCTTGCAGAGCAAAGCCAGGTATGGATTTCCCTGGGGAAAAGAACATGCCTTGGACATTCTGCTCCCACCAGCCCTCAGAGTGCTCTGCTGAAGGCAGGAGGCCAGGGATGCAGACCCCCCCAGGGGCCCACAGTGGGCAGCAGCAGCACGGTCACTGGAGAGCCCCTTGTGTAGCTGCACCCTCACCTGTGGGGATGCCACTGCCACAATTCCTCCCTGTACAACCAGCTTGTGGTGGTGTCTGACTGGAGCTGACGGCTGCCTCCTGTGGCTATATTACATTAATAAGCTCCTGGGTCCAACCTCCAGCTCTGTAGCACAGCAGTGCCCCCTAGACTCCGACCTCCAGCACTGCAGCACAGTCTATCCACTGGTGAGCTTAGGCCATTCACTTTTTCAATGGATGACTATCTTATCATATTTATAATTATTTTCCATTGGTGACTTTTTCTTTCTTCTTCTACTGTCTTCTTCAGTTTTACTGGAGCGTTTCGTGATTTCATTTTCTCTCCTCTTTAAGCATATTAAGTACGCTGTTCTTCAAAAAATTCTGAGTCTCTGCCCTTGAGTTTGCAATACATATTTACAACTCATCTTTGCCCATTTCCAAATGATGCTGCACTGCCTGTGGGTGGTGAGATCCTCTCACTGCCCAGCACTCCCTGCACTCACAATACTGCTGTCACTTACTCACTGATTCATGAGCTATAATTACCAAATATATGGCTGCTACTACAGTTCTGAATAAACTGTTGTCTGTCAGATAGCTAAGAAGTTTACTCTCATTCCTTCACTAGAGCTCTTCCTCTGTTTAGGTAGCTCTGGTTTCTTACCTACACCACCTTCCTCCTCTCTAAGGAACTTCTTGTGACATGTCTCTCAAGGAGATCTATTGGTGATGACATTCCTCCATTATTCGCCTAAGCAAGCCCTTCTTCAGTTATGAAAGATAACTTTGCTGGATACTGAATTTTGGGTTGATGGATTTTCTGCTTTAGGACTTAAGCTATTTGACCCCATTGTTCTCTCTCTCTCTTAAAAATATTTATTTTTAGTTTTAGGAGGACACAATATCTTTATTTTATTTTTATGTGGTGCTGAGAATTGAACCCAGTGCCTCACGCATGCTAGGTGAGCGCGCTACCACTTGAGCTACATCCCTAGTCCCTCTCTCTCCCTTTTTAAATTTTTTTAGGTGGACACAATATCTTTTATTTTTATGTGGTGCTGAGGATCAAACCCAGTGCCTCATGCATGCTAGGCAAACGCTCTACCACTGAGCCACAACCCCAGCCCCCCCCTTCTCTTTTTGCTTGCATGTATTCTGTGAACTTCTCCTACTCCTCCTTCTTTTGTTTTTTTAAACTTCTAGGTTCTTTCAAGATTGTCTTTCTTTTCTTCTTCTTTTTTTTTTTTTTTTGTACTAGGGCTTGAACCCAGAGGTGCTTTACCACTGAGCTACAACCCCAGCCCTATTTACTTTGAGTCACAGTGTTGCTAAGTTGCTTAGCACCTCACTAAGTTTCTAAGTCTGGCCTCTGACTTGTGATCCTCCCACCTCAGGTTTTTGAGTCAGTGGGATTATAGGTGTGCACAGCTGTCTTTGCTTGTCTGCAGTTTTTCATATGATATGCTGAGGTGTAAACATTTTTGGTCATCCTGTTTGGATCCTCTGAACTATAGGATCTGTGGTTTGATGTCTATCATTAATTTTGGAACTAGGCTATATTTACTCTACTGAAGGTATCAGATGCTAAAATTTTCTTTAGTGTGCCTGCTTTGTAGCTCTGTTGTTTCAGAGTTTCCCTAGAGACTCCTTCTTAAACTAGGGTGTAGAAATTGCAGGTCTGTCAGCGACTTACTGTTATTATGAGAGCCTGATGGGTGTGCTGTAAAATATGTGGGGTGGAGGAGTGTTCTATAGTGTGGGATTATAGCACAGGTCTCTTAATGACTCTCTGGCTGGGCTGTGACCTTCACCAGGGCTGCCTGGGCTCCCTACAACCTCCTCGGGTGAGACAGGAAGGCTAGAGGGGGCTGGAGTTGGGTGTCTATGTCCCCCAGGTCCTCTAGGCTCTGGTAAAGCCCAAGCCCAGCCTATGGAAGGACCCACCCCCAGGGCAGTCCACTGTTGAGGAGTGCTCTGAGCTTATATCAAAATGTCCACTTTCCCCCTCTCCCTGTCAGAAGCACTAGGAGACATTTTCCCAGATCTTTACTCAAAGAAGATGAGGATCTCCTACAAGTAATTTGTGATTCTCAATATACACCTTTCCCTTGAATTTTGGGGCAGCAGTTTGACCTGTGGCCTCAATTMTGAGCGATATAAGACCTGATTTTTAGTTTGTAAAACTTTCTTTCTCTTTATCCTAGTATTCTACAATTTCATGTGCCTTGAATCTGGGCTTATTTTCTTCTCTCAGTGGTACTGAAGATGTCTATCCTTTCTTCTTTCTTTCTTTCTTTTTTTTTTTTTTTTGAGTGAGTGTGGTCCTGGGGATCAGACAATCAGGGTCTCACACATACTAAGCAAGTGGTCGCTGGGCCACTATCTCAGCCCCATGGCCTTCTTTCATTACTTTAATAATTTCTTGCCCACCATTTTTCTGAAACTCTAGTCAGTCAAACAATGAACCATCTGAATTAAGTTTCTAAAAATCCTTACCCTTTCTGAGTAATCTCTTCATCT